AGGAAGATACATTAATTTTGCTATTAAAAACCAGTGCTATTAAAACATTAATGGTATCTCTCTTCCCGGTGGCTCAGTGGTGTGCTTTAAGGTTTATATCGTTACAGTTCGGGGCTCAGTACTGGCGGTTGACACTCAAAGTCAGCCCATTGTGTAGCTATGCGATTAAACAAAACAAAGTAACTAACTGTGTGTTTATTTCTGTTTTATCAGTATATTGCTTTATACAAACACTTAATCTCTTCATAAAGTTCCACAGTGGGTCAGCAATAAACTTATTGACTTATAACGTCTGAATGGTGCGTTCGATTCTCCGTGGTGGACAGAGAGTAGGTAGCCCATTATTTAACTTTGCGCTACGATAAATAAACAGACATTTAATCAATATGTCAGGTCATGATTATACATTAACTTCTCGACATCATTAAACGTGAATTTGATGGTACATGTTTTAATAATATTACATTCATTTTTTACATCTTTCATAAGTCCGCATCTTTTTGGGGTCGGCCGTTTCCTAGTGGTTTGTGGACTTGGACTGTGCATCTGAGGGTTCATGGTTCGCTTCCCGAAAAATCGCCCTCCACGCTTTGAGACCGTTCGTAGGCTGTAACAGTAACGGGTAAATTCCACTACTCTGTCAGACATTAGAAATCCAAGAGTTTACGACAGATGACTTCCCTCTAATCTGTTACTTCAGTGTTAGAGATGACAATACGCAGATAGTCCTTGCGTGGACATTCTGAACGAAACCACACGTTTTGTTTCAATGAAGTAAAATTCTAGTCAACAACCTCTAAGGTATTAGTTTCGGCATAGCTAAAACTCAAAAGCGTTATTCACAGTAATTTGTAATTAGGCAGCGAGAAAAGGTAGTTATTATAGCTATTAATAATGAAAAGAAACCTCATTGGAATGTCGCCTAAAAACACAATTTTGAAGAATACAGTTCAAGAAACATTAGAGTACGTTGCAAAAATTATGAATTTAAAATGCAGTGGGAAGAGGGGAAATCCAAATCAAAAACATTCTGGCAAGAGGATAGTGTTATTCGAAGAATTACAACGCGAAATAGATTTTCAAAAAATCCCCAGAAATAAATGCAGAAAGGCAGGATATTCGTGGAGTTAGAATTAGCAACAGGATTGTTCGAAGGCAGTTATTGCAGTAAAGTGGTCTACAAAGGGTTTATTTGTCTTTCGAATTTCGCGCAAAGCTACACGAGGGCTATCAGCGCTAGCCGTCCTTAATTTAGCAGTGAAAGACTAGAGGGAAGGCAGCTAGTCATCACCACCCACCGCCAATTTTGAGCTATTCTTTTACCAACGAATAGTGGGATTGACCGTCATATTATAACACTCCACGGCTGAAAGGGCGAACATGTTTGGTGGGCCGGGGATTCAAACCTGCGACCTTCAGATTGCCCTAACCATCTGGCTATGCCGGGCGACTCTACAAAGGGAAGTTGCAGTCAAGGAGTCATAATGTTTCACATGTGAAAATGCGTTGCAACTTTGCAAAAAGATAAAAAATGAAAAAACCAAAGGAACAATGTGCTATGGACTTATAAAGAACTGATTTTTTTAGAACACTAGGAGAGGTTTTGTACGGAGATGTGGTCATGAAAACTTTTCACAAGCAGATCTTCTTCAGCTCCAGGAATGGGAAGTATTGTTCAATATGATGGTGTTATGATGAAGAACCAGTACCACAACATACTGATTTATCAGTGGGCGGAGAGTATTTATTCCTAGCTTTGAATTTCAGCGGGATAATGCTTCAAACCAATGTCCTTGCTAGATAAGCTAAAGAAGGAAAGTTATGAAGGCGAACATGCTTGGTACTATTTAATGATAACCAACTAATATTTGGAAACATTCAGGTGAACATGCTTGGTACTATTTAATGATAACCAACTAATATTTGGAAACATTCAGGTAAACATGCTTGGTACTATTTAATGATAACCAACTAATATTTGGAAACATTCAG